CAAAAGTTTGTTGTTTCATAACCTAAATATTATGCTTTCTCTATTATATGGATACAACAGACTACCGCAAGCTGTTGCTAGGATATTTTATTAATTTTAATTGGGTTTTTTAGACATTGTGAATGATCGTAAACTAAAAAGTATAAAGTGTAATTAAAACCACTAATTAGGAGGTTCTGAATGAAGCTTTACTCGAATCTTAAAACTTAAACTTTTAAAAAAGCGACATGACACCTTTATCCACTCATGTCTTCAATTATGGTGCCGTGCAGTTGCCAAGTCATTATAATTATTACAGAAATAAAGATGTCTAATATTGATACTAACAACTTATAACAAAATTGTTGAATAGGTGCTTAAAGAGAAACCAAATAAAATATACTGACTTAGTTTTACCTGAGTTCTCACAGCTTTTTATAGTGGAAGAATTATGTTGCGAGATGCATTTGTTTTCATTCTGTGTTTTTGATGGGATAATTTATTCAGAAAAATGTATGGCTCAAATACTAAGTTGTGCATAAATTTCTGGGGAAAGCTATAAAAGGGATTTACCCATATCTGATGTAAGCATTTAACAAAGCATTGCGACGAAAAAAAAATCAAAATTGCGAGAGAAAAAATTTACCAATTAAGCGAGGTGTTATAAATCGGACCGCAGGGAAATCAAATCGAAACCGTACAAAGTAAAAGCCAAAAAATGTAAATAAAAATACTGCGGAAAGCTCCCCGGGAATGACATTTCGACGTGTCATAATTACCTTTTGTTTCCGGTCAATATATCTCGTGTATATGGCGACGCGGTGTTTTAATTCTGTTTTAGTTTAACAAATACTCCCAAGTTTTTTGATATTATATATCTACTCATTTATTAGTGATATCACTAACTTAATGTTTTTCAAATCAGAATATTACAGATTATTAAAGTACTTCTATGTTATATTTAATGTTTTATTCTCACTATTTAACTAAATGCCTTCTATTTTCATATTAAATTGTTTTAAGACAAAGCGTATTTACTACTAAATTGTGTTAAGACAAAACATATTTACTACTACATAATATACGTAACATGCTATACCGGTATACCGGGTATTTCTCAAATGTGGCTAACCCTTGGGCTAACCAATATAACATTTTTATTTTTTCCGATAAACACACAAAATTTGGTATGTATGAGACATAAATTGAGATTGATTGACCTATTCAATTAACTATAACGGGTGTTTTTCAAGTGTCTCAATTCTCTATCTATTTATTATTTTTTCTGGTAATAAAACGAGATTTTGTATGTTAGTATATGATATAAATCGAGATTCATTGACTTATTCAGTTAGTTTCGGTCACTTCTTGTTTCACCGGAAATAACAACAACTTTTGATTTTTAAGTGGTACCCTCGGTATTTTTTTAATTTACGAGCATATGGTAGAAAATGACATTCTGAATTGTCAGAATGTCATATGTCAACTTTTGACATTTCTATGGTAAACTTTTTTAAGTTTTATATATATATGGTTAAAACTACTAATTTTACTATACCTTTAATTAGATAAGAATCAGTGGCCTTGATGTGGTTTAGAGCCAGTCAACATCTTGGTCACTCTCAAATTGAGCTGGTGATTGCCTTGTAGCAGAGCCATCATAAAACAAGATGTTTTTCGTGTATTATCGTTTTTCCACCTGATGACATTCCCAGACAGATTCCATTATTAACTTGATTTTATAGTTAATTTATATTTTTTAAAACAGAACAATTTGTTAAATATAAAATAAGTTATTTTGATTTTCCTACAATTTTGATTTATTTTCTTCAAATATTTTTCATTAAAAAAGTTGATTTGCATTGAAATTCAGAAAAACACCAGATTAAATTAATTTCAGAATTTCTGATTAAATTTAACAACTTTTAATATTTAATTAAATACGGGTATGTTTGTTTATCAGACCATAGAATACATACAATGGAATAATTCAGCAAGAACAAACAGTGTAGAGGCGTTTAATGAAAAAACATTAAAATAATATTTAATGAAATAAAATAATCTGCACAGCTTAATTCCGTTTATTTTGTTTATTTACTTACATATTAAAACTAATATACCGTAAGATTGACAAATAGTTTTTTTAAAGAAATTAGACAACCTAAATTCTCATTTGAATTTTTTTGCATTTCTAAAGTTGAAATCGTCCAAAAATTTTTCGATGTTAAAAATTTCACGAAAAAAGTCAAATTAGCGCCCTCTAGCTACCACGAAAAAATCTATGTAAACAAAATTTATACTGCAGATCATTAGGTAAGAAAAGCTCTTTTAAACGAGTCCTAGTTTGTTTAACTCGGCTGACCCAAACCAGAATGTAGAATGAATGTAGAATGTTTAAGAGGGGAATTAATCACCGCGACGCGCGACGTTAAAGATCTATTATGTCTTCCCCTTTCTTGAGTTATAACGAGTTATAACTCATCATACAGTCTCAGGGCTTCAACAAAAGCCAGTATCTGAGACGGCTCCGCATAGGCCAGCCCTCCATCCTGGACATCGTCTGCACAGAATCTGCATTCGCCGTTATTTCTCAGCTTCAGCCTACTGAGGTGTTCGTTGAGGAGACAGTGTCCTGTTAGAAACCCCGTGACAATCCGAAGATTGCTTTTACTTAAATCAAGGGAGACCTTTGATTTTTCTCGGTAGTAAGTTCTGAGGAACTTTTGTGTCTTAGACCTTTTCTAGCTAGATCATTTGCTTTTTCATTGCCTTGGTTAGCAGGCATTCAGAGTAGGAGGACTTTATTTTCTTTGCATAATTTGTTGAAATTCTCTAGGCATTCTTTGACAAACTTCGAATTGATGGTTACTGAGTTGATCGCGTTTAATGCTGCTTGACTATCGAATAAGATGGATATTTCCTGTTTTTGATAGTTCCTATCTAAGATAAATTGTACGCATCTTTCGATAGCGTAAATTTCTGCCTGAAGGATGCTGGGGTAGGTGCCCATTGGTTCGGAGTATTTAGTTTTCGGACCAAATACTCCTATCCCTCTCCCTGCTTTGGTTTTGGAAGCATCAGTACCATACCACGTTATGGTATGGTCTTTTACATGCTAAGCAAACGTTTCTTCCTTCTAATCCTTTTTATTACTACAGTGAGGTGTGTGACCTAAATCAGAGTTATCCTTATTTTAATAAAAGGAAGTTTAACCTTCCCCCACCACTTTATTTTATGAGACAGAGCAAAATACGGTACATAAAAAAATACAAATTTTCCATTGATTACAACAGCAATATTTAAAATACATCTTCACCTGCACATTTTTTAGAAAAATTGTTTTCTGATTGGCGATTACATATGCACCCTCTAGCGGACAAATAGCTGCCCAAGTACAGCCGCTCTTTAGCTGTTACGCTTTGTAAGAAACCGTAACGTGTAACAACCGAAGCTTTACTAAAGAACTAAAATAAATAAATAATTTATTTGTACTGTATGTTACTTTCTACTACTAAGCTTAAGAGAAAAACTTCTTAGTAGATCTTGATTAACATGCTTAACCAGAAATAAAAAAATAATGTTTCAGAGGATATTTCATTCTAATAATCCTTGATTTGTTCTTTACATCATAGATCTTTCGAAATCTACTAGCCATATCCCAAAAGTTCGTTTCGCAGATACAGGGTGTAGAAGTATAATTTTTATTTCGATTTTTTCCAAATATTTTCTGAAGTAACGTCACTATTTGGATGAAGATTGGTGTCTGGAATTTTTTTGACATCAGAAATTTGATTTTGATGTCAATATGACTCCTAATTGTAGGGGGAGCCATCTTTAGGTGTTTTAACTGTTTTAAAGAGTAAAAACTTTTCGTCCGTACCTGTATAAAACTACTGAATTAATGTATAAAATATACATTTCCGTGATTTTTTACGTAAAAAATGTTTGCTGGCCAAAATCGCTACGAGCAATCGTTCTCAAAATATTTGTAATGGAAATAGTCAATACATGTCATTATTGACAAAAAATAAATAACATGTTTGAGTAGATAGTTATTTGACTCAAATGATAAATATGGGAACTTTTTATTTTTTAGGTTAATCATAAATTTTTCAACAAAAAAATGATAATAACAGTTTCTGTTGAACTTTTGGCACAAAAACGTATATCAAATTTCTGATTTCAGTCTAATAACTACTTAGTCAACACGTTTAATTTATGTCAATGACGACAGGTATTGATAATTTGGATTAAAAATATTTCGAGAACCATTACTCGTAGCGATCTTTACCAAGAGAACTTTTTTACGTAAAAAACGTCGTAAATGTATATTTTTTTACTCGGTAGTTTTATACAGGTTTTATACAGGTACGGACGACAAGTTATCTCTCTTCAAACCCGGTAAAATTTGTAGTTGGTGCTCTCTACAAGTAGGAGTCATATTGACATCAAAATCAAATTTCTCATGTCATAAAACTCCCAGACAACAATTTTCATTCAAATAGTGACCTTACTTCAGAAAATATTTGGAAAAAATCGAAATAAAAAAGATTTTTCTCAAGAATTTTTTAATTATTTTTACTTCCAGAATATGCTTTCGAAGTTTTGCGGAATACAGTTCGGAACACCCTGTATATTAGACATTAATATTATATTATTATTTGGAAATTAATTATAATTTGTTGCGGCTTAGTTGTAATTTGTGGGTAATATTTCGTCCCATTGCTGCCAAAAGTCACTAATTTACTTCTTATTACTTCCGAGAAAAATGTGTCTAAAGATGAATTGCATTGCATAAAGATGTTATAGTTAGTAACTATTCGGTATTAAAATAAAACATAAATAGCCAGAAATCGTAGTTAATGACTTTGGAATCGATTTCCCGCTTCAAAACATAGTTAGTGATTGAATTTGGTTGTTCGGAAAAATGTTAGTTAGTGACTTTTGGCAGCAATAGGACGATTTGTAAACTATATCCCATTATATATTTTCTTGACTGATGTTTCTCTTTTTTGTTTCAGAGATAATTAGATATATAGAACTAGCAACGGAGAAACTGCTTATTTTCATCTACCACACTGCCAGATATCTCTTAGACTTCAGTACCAACGTCTGTTTCGGAATAGTAATTATTCTCTTAATAGTAAAGCATTCTTTGCGAGGCTACACCGCCCAGGATTGGAAATATTATTCCACGGCTTTGTTCTGAAATGGGGAAGGTCCACAGAGAAATTAAAACCTCATTTATATGAGTCTACATCAAAGCAGATATGGCAAAGTTGAATATATTGCAGATATGATCTCAGATGTAATTAGACGAACATTATCAGATTGAAAGCCAGAAAATAGTAGATAGCAAGATAAGGTTTTGTGGAATCTGATATGGAATTAATTACATCAAAATAGAATTAGAATATTTAATATTAATAGGAATTGTATATAGAATACGAAATAAAGACTGACTTTTGTAACTATTTAGTTGTGTTATTATATAGACTTCATTTTTAATTATTATATTTGAAATAAAAGGAAAATAAATTGTAATATATATCTGTATTTTTTTAAACTATCAAGTGAATATTTTTATAGCGACTAGATCAGAATAGAAATATTTTGTGCAAAAAATGGACAAATATTTTTTGAGTAATAATTTAAGTAATGTCAATTATTTAATTAAAAAAAGTAAAAGTTTTTAATTGTAATAATTTTGTTAAACAATATCAAATTTTACCATACATTTTTTTCTTATCATCGGATGTTATGAAATAATGTATTATTGATAGCTTACCTTTCCTATTATTGTAATTGCACATTTTTAAATTTTGCATATAACTTTGGTAGATTTTCTTTTGATCATTTATTAAATATAAAAAAACTTGGAAAAGATAAGACGTATTGTCAAGGAAGGAATTATTATTTATATAAAATAACTCAATAAATATATTTTGTAAATTAATGATTCCATTGAAAGGAAATATAAAATGTTTAAAGTGTGCTCATTGGCATATCGAGTCATTTTGGTATGCCCTTAATCGTAGCCCACAAAATAGGGTGTGACAGTATAGCAACGACGTCGAAAAATAAACAAGTTTATAATTTGTGTCAAAAGTCGTTACTATAAAGAGTCCTTCCATCAGGTATCCAGAATATGAGATGTTATACAGGATGTCCCAGAAATAAGTGCAAGTATTTTAAGGGGTGGTAGATCTCGATAAAAGAAACATATTTTCTCTTTATCGTTTTTCAAATAAGTCCAAAATAACGGAGTTATTTTACTTTGAAAAATTCTAAAGAAAAATTCTTTCGCTAAGTTTTTGAGAACCACTGGATATTTTCTGGATTTTCTTTCTTTTAAATTTAATCTACAACCTATGTTGCCGTATTATCAAGAAATTATATTTTTAAACTAAAAACTAAAAAAATTCCGAATCTTCAAAAAATATTTTTCGCGAAAAAAACCTCATAGGCGTGTTTCTGGGGTTGAAATATACTACCTTGCACTTATTTCTGGGACACCCTGTATAGCATATAGGATAATTAAATACAGGGTGGTCCGAATTGTATTCCGGAAACTTTGGCAGCATATTCTGTAGATGAAAATAAGTAAAAAAGTTCGTATAAATATGTCTTAAAATGCTTACTTTTGGAGATACAGGGCGAAGAAATTTCATTTTTATTTCGATTTTTTCGAAATAATTTCTGAAGTAACATCAATATTTGGATGAAAATTGGTGTCTGAGAGTTTATTGACATGAGATATTTGATTTTAATGTCAACTTGACTCCTATTTGTAGGAGGTGCAACCTACATAATGTTTTAACGGTTTTGAAGGGTAGTAATTTTTCGTCCGTGACTGTATGAAATTACTGAGTGAAAAAATATACCTAATATATAACCTATATACCAACCACTATAACCTAATATACCAACCAAAACAATCAGGCAAACATTAATAATAACGGGTAATAATGTTGATATTGTCAGTGAACAATCTCCTTCTTAACTATACAGAATTCGACTAAATGAGATTAGCTAGTTAATAAGCCTTCCAAGACTAAAAGTACTCTATTAATAAATAATGCTTTATTATTAAGCATTTAGTAACGATGAAGGTATAACCTGGTCAGCTTCGCATTCTCTACCTCTTACTTCAAAGATGTCAATTTCTTCTTCTTTTATAGTTTACTCCAATCGTGTTCAATCTGCTTGTTATCCTTAGTAGGACCAGCTCTATTATATATCATTGTGGTTCCTGTAATAAACTTACCTTATCTTAGAAGTGTTAAATAACTGAAAAATATCATAGACCAGATCCTTGTTGCAGTAATTACCTCAAAATCGACTAGTTGCCGCAGATAATCTATTGCAGTGATTTGTTTAATTCACTAGACCTTAAAAAAAATCAATATTAAAAGATGGCAGTTTGACCACACAGGCAACTGAAATGTATTGACTTCAATCTCCGATGGTCTTTTAAATAAATATACAGATAAAGAGACTATGCATTTATAACATATACTATGATTACAGTTAAATATATACACAGTGGTAAGTTCAGTATATACACACTAGTGCATTTTAGTTCGTTCCACTTTTAACAGATTTTGACATTTTTAATTTTTGAATAGAACATCAATTCAACAAATTGTGAGACTCTTATTCTCTATTATTTTCTCTTTTTTCTCTCTTAATCAGTTACACATTACTACAAAAGACCCAGGTAATAGATGTCATCAACAGAGTCAAATCACTCAAATGGCAATGGACAGGACAACTGGCAAGAAGAATAGACAACAGATGGATCACGGAAATTACAGCATGGTACCCACGAGGAATTAAGAGAAGAGGAAATAAATTGAAGAAGATGACCTAACCTGAGATGGGGCCATGATATTAGGAAATTAGTAGGGATATAACTTGGGCCCGATTAACCAACAATAGACAACAATAATAGGGTCAACTACAAAGAGAGTATCTAAATATGCGAGGGGGCTATACCATAATTGGAAATGTTAGTAACCAATTATTAAATATTTTAATAAAAATCTAGTAAAAGGGAAAGGGATGTGTGATTAAAACTTGACCAAAAATTCCATAGTTTATTTTTAACGGACATTATAACATTAAACTTATTGATTTATCTTTTAATTTGAGGCTCGCTTCTTTTACCTATTTTTTTTGCTTTGTTTCATTTGTATATTAATATTTAAAAAAAGGTAAATAAACTATTTGAATTTGAATTTAATAAAGCGTTTTAGTTTAATTTACTATTTTAGTTAGTGGTTTTTAATTAATGACTGTTAATGATCCCAATCTTTTTAGTCTCGATCAAGAATTCTCCAGAAAAAATATTAATTAAAAATATACTTTTTTTAATTAATATAGTTAATAACTTAGAAGGAACAATGCAAATGGCCATATTCACGTCACGACCATTATTCTAGAGAACGGCAAGCTTCTCTTATGCATTTTAACTCAGTAGGTATCTCTAGGGAAGCTTGGGTCAGACTGCAAAATAAATCGTGACATTGTATAATGAGAAAACTAAATATACAAAAAGGTGCATAATTGAAAAAAAATACGTCTAAAGAATTTAGTCTCTTCAAAAATGTCCTCTAGGTATTTCGCCACCTGCATAAAAAAATAAAGCAAAAATGAATGAGGATTTTTTAATACATATAATATAAATAAATGTATTGCTCAGATATGTAGAGGTTAATAATGTATTACTATCGTTCCCTTGATTTTGATAAACATAACATAACTAAAAGGAAATAAAAAATAATAATATGCAGAAAGTTTGAGGTTATTTTGGTTTTACACTTGATTAAAGAACCTGTCTGGTTGTCTACTCTATGTTTCACACGAATAAATATTCAATACATAAACGCGGATTTTTCATCCAAAAATATTTTCGTCAAACGTATTACAGGTATTACATATTTTAATATGGCAACACTGTTGCTTTCAGATCCACACCGTCTTCGATATGCCTTCGCTGTCCGAATTAGAGAAAATGAGTGTTTTATGCGTTGATCGCAGAACGATTGGTGTCTCCACCGTACAGCACTTGAGACGTAAGCGAAAATCAATCAACCTTGTCACGAATTCGGCCATTACGTTGCGCATCTTCCCAATTCTTTCAATTAACGGTTTTACCTCATTAGATATTTGTTATCAGGTTGTAATTGTTAATTTTGAAGTTTAACTTAGGCTGTAATCCGTTGCAAAACCAGGCGAACCAGACAGATAAACTACGGTAAAGAGCGGTTTCTGAAAAACATCGGTTTGATACGGAATGGTTTGATGAAATACTGGAAACATCAAATGTTGACGTTTTCTAAATTTCAATACCTCTATTATAAAATTTATCTTTTATGCATTTTTAATGTACCTATTCTGTGCTTTTACGTTTGCTTCTTTTTTTCAATGGAGTTTAATATTGAACAGTACTTTATTAATAAACTGTTAAACTCGTTAGATAACTCAAGTTAATATTTGTTGGTCCAATATTAAAACAGATCAATAATAAATAAACAAATCTACTCAATATTTATATTTTTATAGCTTACAAAACATTCACGATTGCTTGTTGTCTTGTTTTCCATGTTTTCTTTAATTTTTCCTGACTTTAAGAAACAATGGCTGCATGATAAGTTTAAATGGTCCTAAAAAGTAATTCTATTTAGTTATTGAAATTTATTGACCTTTACTGCCTACCTCCATTGCTTTTGGATGTAAATACAAAATAGTATTACAAATTTTAGAAATAAAATGAGAATTTCACGCGAACTTCCAATATTTGCTTGATTTCTCACATAAATGACATTGATTGACAAACAAAACCAGAAAAACCAGCCTTCTCGCGCTGGTTAGTTTGGTGACAGTTGTAACCGAATTTTTCAGGAACCGTGTTCCGTAATAAGAAAACTTTCAGGAAACCGATAGAAACGGAACATAAAACCATAACCAAGGTAAGCAACGGAATACACCCTTAATATAATGTCATTTTGACTGAACGTAAATCTTTAATATACTTTTTAATAGAGGTATCTATTGAAAAAATATATTCTTGATTAGTGGTATTTACATATTTTAAATAGTTTTGTTTTTCTTCTTTGTGTTTTCTTGTTTCCGTCGACGAGAAGAGATATACTTCCCGAAATGTTAACAATTTTTGTCCGTTAGGGAAATTTGTTTTATTAGTAAAATATCCCTAACAAGTTGGTATCCGTTGGATTAACGCAACGATGTTTACAAAAAATAACTATTTTACTTTGTACATTTTCTCAAAATGCAAATGGTGAAACACCCAGAAGATTTTCTTGAAGAGATAAATCCGCCACAGAGCTAAGAATTTTTTTTAAAGAATTAACCTATTTTGAAAAAGGGAAGGCCTTTCGAAAAGGAGGGAAGAATATAATAAATAATAATTTATTTATTTAAGTTAATATGTACAATTATAAATCTTAAATATACATACCATATACAGCAGAATTTATATTATGTACAGATAGAGAGAATCGAGTTAATTTAAAAGTATCACATCGATTAAAGGAAACATCAAACGAAATATCGCTATTCGTGTGCGACCAAATAAATTGTTTATCACCTGCAAATATATACAATAATTGACAAACAAATAAATCCGGTTGTTGCTGAAGCGGTCTCGGTGGACTCGACGGCTGCGTTTCTGGTGACCGGTGCGTAAAACTCCACTGAAACAAAACAAACATCGTTCAGTTTTCGAATAAATACTGGCTCCAATTTGCAGTTAAATCAGCATAATTCGACTATGCAGTTTTTTTAAACGACCAGTTCATTAAGAGTTTTCAGGGTCTAATTTGGATCATAATGTGATTTTTTAGGGCTGCCGTAAAAAAACAATAAGTCAAATTTGTATGGATGTTCAAGAATTTTAAATTTAACCGCATTGCCAGATCGTGGAATATTAACTATCTAACTAGATAGTTGTTCTTCAATCTAGTTCCTAAACCCATCAAAATGGTCTAGGAACAAAGACGAAACTGCTATATTTGTAAATTTAGGATCCAAAACAGCATCTATACACTATGCGAAAAACACTTCGAAACAGGTCAAGGTCACATATCGTCGCCCAACTTTGACGCATTTCGATTTATTTCCAGTTGTCATGACCCACTTCGGTTTGCCTCGACCTATTTTCGATTCTTAAAAGCGCTTGGAAACTACTCTTGAGGAGGGCGTGGAGGGGGAGGATTTTTTTGCGTATTTTGTTGCCTCGTTCCATTTTGTTTTGTTTTGAGCTATTTCCAAAAATGTGGCGGTATCTGTATCCGAGGCAAAGGATTTGTTTTCCTAAATCTCAGTGAAATAAGTAAACGCAGACGTCTCTAAAACAGCTGTTGTTACGATGATATTTCGTTAACCCAGATTAACAAAAAACAAACAAACAACCAATCACGGCGCGTCTCGATCTATTCCAGGAAACGTGGGAACTAATTTCTATAACACGGGCTTATATTTATCGTAATATTTCCAGAAATGTTTTGCGAAATGTTTCACGAAATATTTCCAGAAATATTTCGTAAAACACTCGGGGATAGTGTAGAGGCTCTTCAAGATTGGTATGCAGTAAGCCATACGTGGTCTGTCTTTTTTTCTAAGTTCTTGCTTTTTGCCTTTGCTGATAAAATGATAAAATTCCTAAGTATCTGTGTTGGCTCATTTTTACGTTAAATAAAGAATATTCAGATTTGTAAAACTGGCTCATTGGTGCACCGGCTTGAGAAATGCTCTCTCTATCTCTCTTGACTAATATACCGTGTGTTGCATCGAAATACGGGAGATAGGAAATCTCATGTAAATTTCGCAAAGATCAAATATTATCTCCCCAGATAATTGTATGCAAAAGTTTTATTAGGCTTTTTGAAAAGGCGTTAAAGTTGAACTTTTTTCTAGAATTTTGTTTCATTTGGAATAGTCTATTACGCTGTACTGTTCGGGTCACTCTCAGGGGTCGGGTAAAGCGGTTATGTGGCCGAAGGAGATATATATTATATTTCAGAAACATTTGTGTTTCAAAACACACGTGCTTTGATTAAGGCTTGATTAAGGTTTGCAGAGCTTCAGCATTTGTCATAAAATAGGGAGAAATTTGTTACAAAACCATATAAATTGTATATCACTGTAATCACAAAACTTCAGTCTATTTCCGTATTGTAACGGAATTTTAAATTATATCTTTATTTTCGAGAAAATTGAGTACAAACATAAGGAATATTTTGTTGATGTTTGATCATCAAAATCTTAAAAATAAAGAAGTTGTCTAAAAATGCGCTACTATACGGATATAGTATTAATCCTTTATCTTTAATCTCCTTCATTTGTGTAAAAATGCCTAGCCAGTTTTACATAAAACGTTAAATGCCAAACGCATTATTTCCTACTCTTTCGGACTAGTGAAATGAACTTGCAAATAACTTTTAAAGTTTAGTGAAAAAGTAATATAATCCTATATTTACTGAAAAGAAATATTTTCTGGTAAAATATAATTTTTATACAAATAACAAAATACTCTTGACAGAAAAATCAAAATGTAAGACCATTTAGATTCAAAAAAATGTCTATCTAAATGAAAATAGTGCGTCATAGATAATAAAACCAGAAAAAGAAAATGGAAGTGTGGTATTATTCTATTCATATCGAGATGTATATGTTAAACTTTGTGCCTTTTTATAGAAACTTAATGAAAATTCATATTGTTAGTGGAACTGAACTATTATTTTTATTTTGTAATAAATTCTCATATTGATCTACCGTTAAGTTTAAATGAATCTAATTAAACTAGTTCATTATATCAGATTTCGCATCACAAGTGGAAGTCAAGACGTTAGGTTGATTGCTTAATTGGTCTTATCAAAATTAATTAAAACACAAACTCACAAACTAAAATACAAACTGATAGTAACTACTTCGATTTTCAACTTAGTTGCTAAAATCTTATTTTGTGGTGGAGTGTTGTGTTTCCGAAAGCTTTCATGGAAGACTTTCCATTCTACCTAAAGGAATAATTAATTGACTTCATTAAATATATTTATAATAATTTTTACTGTATCTAGTCTTTATACTAAATGAGTGTTTTCTATTGTTAAAATGCTCCTTATTGTAAAATAAAAATATACAAGTTACAGAATGAAAATTAATGTATGCGATGACTATTAGAGCTACTATTAAAAAATATACGTCCATTTATCCAACCCATGGAATATTGGCATTTTAGATGTTTTTTAAAGCAACAAATGGGGGGGGGGGTACAAAAGGCACTAGTGCTAAAAATGATAATATTGCAAGCTCATTTGTTTACAAAAATAAAACTATTTAAATATTTGTAAAAGATTATATCAATTAAATATGCCACCATTATTTCCGCTCAAAAATTGGTTAACTACATACTTTATTGTTTTAGTTAATATTAGTTAATAAATGTGGATTTGAATTAGAAATCAATATAATGTAAGTTATGAAAACGAACGTCTCTGTTGTTATATATCAGCATTCGTCAAAAAATTAAATAAAATTTATAAGGCGTTACTTTTTACCACAATGTCTAAATATACACAACATATAATAGTCAAAAATAAAAATATAATCAAATAATAATATAATCCTTCTCCATTTGCTTCTGTCTTTCACATTTATTCTCCACACATCCACTCTTATCCTTCTCAAGTCCTCTTCAACATCCTTTTTCGATCTGGTTCTCGGTCTACCCCTCCTTTTCTTTCCACCTATTTCACGTTTCATTATCATATTAGGAATTCTTGCTTCAGCCATTCATTCAATGTGTCCCAGCCATCTCAATCTTTGTGCTCTTGCTACTCCCGTTATACTCGGTGCCCGATATAGTTGCTTTAGTTCTTCATTTGTTCTTCTGATCCATATGTTTTCTTCTTTCATCCAAAATTTTTCCTCAGTATTTTTCTTTCCCAAATCTCTAGCTTCGAACTTTCCATTGCACTGAACGTTAACGTTTCACATGCATACAGCACTATTGGTTTCGTACATTCTGGTTTTTAAACTTCTAGAGATGTTCTAATTTCCTGCCATTATTTTTGCCATAATATCCTGAGTTACATTTAGTTTCCTTAGAAATACGCCTCCTAGATATGTGAATGTATCTACTTCCTCAAACTTGTATCGTTTTCCTCTCTCAGAATTCATTTGTAGACATCTTCTGTTCTCAAAATCCCTATCTGACCACTCCATAAATTTCGTTTTCTTCTCATTAAACACTAAGCCTACTTTTTGCGCTTGATTTTCTAGTATATTGATGATAGTATATCCGAGTCACCGATATCAGTTCTTTCCGATCTCATGCTAAGATAACTAAATCATCTGCAAAGGCTAAGCATTGGTGTCTTTTTGTATACAGATCTATATACACTGTCTAAATACACATACAAAATTCAGTTTTTTAGAATTTGGAGCAATCATTAATAATCAACGTAAACAGTCAAATAATGTAGTTTGAATACTGGGATCATATTATTTAATTTATATTAGATTAGAAAGTTCAAAAAAGAGACTACAATAGCAATAATATTTATTCTATTGGCATAACACTCAACCTGATTAAATGGCATTTATTTCCCTAACGTATTTTTCAGCAAAATTTCCTCGCCAAATATACCCAGCTTTCCGTTAAAGAAGCACAGCTCGTCTCTCTAATTTATTTTCCGCCCATAAAAATATTTGTTTAGCTCTGGCTCTCCAGAGGTTTCATTTCCTCTTAACGACTTTGAGCAAAGCGGGCCCATTTAACTGCGAAACACCTCGTATCCAATTTCTTGGCAAGACCATTTTTTTCCTCTCTTTTTTCGTATACTTCACGTAAATTGGGCGACTGTCGTCTGTATTAATGTAAATAAGTTCCTTGATCCCGCCATTAGATAGGTAGGCAAAGTGTTTTTACTTGAATATCAAAATACTTGACTCTCTTTTTGTATCGTCATTTTCTTAGACAGCGGTTTATGTAAGTTTGTTTTTGGCAGTAAGAAATAAATTAGAGGAGTAAATATACAGGGTGGTCCAAATTGTATTCGGGAAACTTCGGCAGCATATTCTGTAGATAAAAATAAGTAAATAAATGAATGCCTTTATTGTCAAAAATTTTTACAATTTGTAGACAAAGGTAAATTAAACAAACAAAAGAGAATACAAATCAAGTACAAAGTGAATACAAATTACATTGTCAGTCTTATTGTTTAAAATAAACATTTATAAATGTTTACAATGTCAAAGAATAAAAAAATAAAAATAAGATTCAAAAATATTTATTATATTTATAGTAAATGTAGTAATAGCAAATATTAGACCAGTGTTTACAAGATTAAATTCGATTATCAAAATATTAGTCATTTACGGCGTGGAAAGCCACTGTTCACAAGTTCCTTTTTAGTTACAAATATTTCTTTTATTTCGTAAATTACTGTGTGTATGTGGTATGAGTAAGGCCTGAGTGTGATCGGGTACTTAATGAACAGCAACCAGTCATACACTGCGAATTTCTACTATTCTCATTTCAATTCAGATAAGAATTAATTACCTTTTCCAAACAACACAAATTCTTGTAAACAAAATGTGACATCGAATTTGACAATGACAAACACGTATTTTTGCTGGTATTTTAATCGTAGCTTTCTCTGGACTGTATTATAAATTTTTAGTAATTTGAAGGTAGATTTTTGCAAATAACTTTTAAATACCTATTCCAAATAAAACGAAATTCTAGACAAAAGTACAACTTTAACGCCTCTTCAAAAAAGTCTAAGACAACTTTTGCATAGAATCAACTGGGGAGACAATATTTTTTGACTTTTTCAAAATTTACATGGGATTTCTTACGTTCTTTGTTCCAATGCAACGGTATTTATATTATAATATATTTTTGTATTTTTATGGCTACTATGTCGCTCAGGCAAGTTTTGTTGTTCTTAACTGTGTAAGTTTGGTACACGTCGACTCCTCCGGTTGCTCTATATTTACTCTCCAGCCAGAGCCCGCTAGAGAAACACTACTTCCCCAATTAGGGTACGCCCGACAACAACGTCGACAAACTGATTAAATATTCGTCTTTTCTCCCTTGATGGGGAACATAAACAACAAAACAGGCGCTGGATATACAGTTAGAGGGATAGAGACAGTGCTCCCTCTTTATCTCCAGGTGTTTGTTTTCTTCCAGTTTAACGTATTATAACTCAAACTTGATGCACGACAAAAGGTTTGTTCCAATAGACACATTTTTCATGATTACAAAAAATACTTCTTACTAGATATTATAGGGGTTGAGTTGGTAGCTATAAAATAGCGGAAGAATTAAACGTTTCTTTTTTAAATTACGTGGTAGCAAATGGTAGGTTTATTATACCAAGATGATATAACTATTTAAATTAACAACAAATTGATATGATTACTTCAATTATTCTATAGTTGTACACCATCTGTAATTATTGTACACCAAATTACTAAAATTTTCCTCTTTTTATCAAAAAATTGATTGTAATTGTTTTTCGTTCTCTATAGGCATTAGATAATTACAAATCATCGGTTGAGTCGAGACCTAGGGTTAAAAGCGTAGTTTTCAAAGCGCCAATCTTTCTAATTATTTGTTAAAATGGATTTGTTTTGATAGCAACAGCAATTCTACCATGGTATTTGAATAGTGGCCGCTGTCTTGTTTGTCGGAAATCAACGGTAATTAATTGGTCTTTGTTCATATTGACGCAAATATTCTAAGCACATTTAAACATTATTTTTTGTAGAATCCCAAAAATGCACCGAAACCAAGCAGCCCACTCGGGTTCGATATGTGCTCAAGAAATTGCAACCTTTAACCAACCAATTAACTGTACAGTTTCAGACAGCTGCATCTCGAAAGAACAAAAATGTGGCAAGCTTCACTTCTACGTGCGCGGCGAGGATTGAATCCAATTTGTTTTCATGCATAAATTGGACCGAGATATAGAAAAAAAACAACAACAACCAAATTCTCATTATGTATAAACCACGAAACAAATGTAATATACATAAAAAATAAACTTAAAAAAATTGTGCGTGCACTATGTGCGCATATTTGAAGTGAAACTTTTTCTTACTTCCGTCTGTCTGTCTGTCCGTCTAGCCGTCTCGTCTGTCCGTTTGACAACTCCGTTCGGATACCTCTATTCACGTGCCGGGTTTGGTTCCAATCGACCCATAATTAAGAAAAATCCTGACGATTTCGTCTATTTAGAGGCATCAGTATCGGTTCGAAATGTTGAGGGCATCATTCTGTAGCCCGTCCCCAATAATGCTGAAATCGACCCACATTTTTCTATCAAATCCTTAGTCCCATCCTGATGAAGATGTAAACAAAACGTCGTATCCAACTTTGCAGAGTTGGACCGTGTGCACCATCGCACACAAAGCCTACCCACCAAATTTGGTCGCGATCTGACGACATTAACTTTTGACGTTTCTTGCGTCAAAACTTACTGTCATAGTAACACGTGTCACGGTAAAGTTAGCGGTACGTACACGGTAAAGTTGGTCGAATCTATCGAACTTGGTCGAATCTATCGACATACCAAATTTCATTTAAATCGGACGATTTTGTGATTTGACTCATTGATGATAGGGTTTCGGAGTGCACGAAACGTCGTCAAAATATCATGAAAAGAACCAAACTACATTCCGAGTTTCAGCCCCCCAGCTCACATAGGCTCCGAGTTACGACGCTTTAAGATCAAAAAGTCAAAGTTACCACATTTTCTCTTGCGTATCGTGTTGATTTGATTCACTGGTGATGGGGTTCTGTAGTGAAAGAAACGTCGTCAAAATATCATGAAATATCATGAAGCACATCTACATTCCATCCCCCTAGCTCAAATAGGGCCCGAGTTACCACGTTGCAAGATCGTTGCCACTTTTCTTGCACTTGTCTTGAGTCTCGTGTCTCACGGCCATGTAGAGTCCTGTGTCACAGCCTTCAATTTTTACTCCCATCGCGCGAGAAGAATTTTTGAAAAGAATGTCAAAATTTAATTCTATACCTAGTATGTTAAAAATTTATCATTACAATTTTCGAAAATTATATTTTTTTTTAATTTTTGTAATTATGTTAGATTAAAAAATTTAAGTTAGTCGTAGGTACGGCCACTATAAACTAATAATAAATCGAATATTTTTTTCTATTTCTTCTTTTCTATTGCATTCCACTAAAAACAATATTTTTTATTTAAATAATATTTTGATAGGAATATAACTTTTTAGATTGCGCGTGAGCATGACTTAACAATGAACCGTTTTCTGTCGGATTGGAACAAACCAAAAGTGTTTACTTACCGGTGGCTTGTGCCGGTCTCTCAGCCGGCTGTTCCCACAGCTCGAAGGGCGGCTCGGTGGTCGTGGAGGCATCATCCAGCCAAACGTAGGGCGACCTGGAAATAAAACGGCAGAGGTAATGATGGGCTCGCTGTTTGAACTAAGCAAATTGAGCGAAGCGAGGGCACTTTGCTTCCGTGTTTACGGTTTGGAGTTGGTTCGGAGTTAATTAGATCTATTGGGGGAGCGGATAACTGAAGGGAATAGAGGTTAAAGTGAAGAAAAATAAATTTGGAGGTGTAAAAACAAAGTATTAGAAGTTTTAGGAAAGGAGACAAGGATCATATGTTTTAAAAAGTTTGTAATAATTGTCTGCTGAGATGTTTGTTGCAAGATCTGAGCAAAGATCTCAGTCGTAAACCATCTCAATTTTTAATCTAGATTAACAATAAAAAACAAACAACCAATCACGGCGCGTCTCGATCTATTTCACGAAACGTGGGAACTAATTTGTATATCACGGGCTTATATTTATCGTACTATTTTGTGAAATAGCACGAAGCAATCAAGGTCAAATTGTAGTAGCTTCAGAAAAATAAGTAAACGTGTAGTATGGATAAATATCATTAATTTGTAATGGAGTGTAATGTAATACCACTATATTAGAATTTTTTTTAGATTTTTTTTCTAATTAAGTAAATCTAAGTAAATTCTAAAAAAATACCACTATATTAAACTGATATGAAAAAAAAACAGTGCATTTAGAAAACAGTTACCGAAGGTAGATTAAATTGGCTATTCCTCTAAGGTTACTCAAGAATATTTAGAATATTTAATCATTGTATAACATTATTAATTACTATATAGTCAAAAACATATTTACAAAACTTAAAATCGTAAAACTGCAGTGCAATACGCAGTGACTAACTATTCTAGCGGTCCGCCTTTTGTAGGATATAATTCAAGGTGTTAAACTATTTTAAAAATCATCTCATTATTTCTTATTTTTGAATGGACATATATCAAACCATGTTATTATTATATAAAAAAGTATATTTCGATGACATCGTGTCAATCAAATTTTCCCAATCAGCTCGATATATTGAGGATGTTGCCAGTATTACACATCAAGCAATACTACTGTTATTAACATATTAATCAATTAAGGCCGCGTTAACAAACATAACGTATACAATTTTATATACTAATTCATTATAATAAAATTAAATAATAAACATATTGTAATTATATTCCTGCAGATTGGGTGAAAAGTTTATTCTTGTTTCGAAGTTCGTGTTCAAATAATATCAACATAATACCTTGTGAAATATATTATTATATGAACATAAAATGAGATGTAATTAACGACATATCATCGTAACAATAGCTATTTTAGAAACGTCTAGGTTTAATGAGATTTATGAAAAAAAAAATCCTTTGTCTCGGGTACAGATACCGCCACGTTTTGGAAATAGCTCAAAACGAAACAAATTTAAACGAAGCAACAGGGAACGCCAAAAAAATTCCCCCACCCTATTCTCACGAGTAGTTTTCTTTTAAGAATCGAGAGAAGGTCGAGGCAAACCGAAGTGGGTGAAGACTGCTGGAAATAAACCGAAATGCGACAAAGTTGGGCGATGAAACGCGACCTTGACCTGCTTCGAAGAGTTCTCCGCATAGTGTAGAGGCAGTTTTATGAATTTTATATGCAAATGCAAAGTTTTCACTAAAAATAATAAATGTTATATTTGTATTAATATTAAATTATTATAGTGCTTTGTTGAAAACAGTCTTAAAAGGTTGGAGAAAATATATATTTTACTTAACACACACAAGAAATACACTTAATGGAAATATAACCAATAAAATGGAAATGGGAATAGAAATTACCCAGCAAGACTTCTTCCTTTGGAAATCGCTCTCAAAAATAAAACGTGAGATAATAATCTAACGAGTGTAGTGTTAAGTATAAAAAACCTACAGTGTTATTTAATAATATTCAGTTCTTAGTTCCATTAACAAAATTGTATTATGAATATTTTTTCAAATAGATTTTTAAAATTATTATTTTTAATTATTAATAAATATATTTTTCTGTTCCTCAAAAGACCATTTGCATAGATATTAAAATTAATATAAATATCACACAGCAGCCTAAGAAACGATCAATTTTAAGCAAATGTTGGATAGCTAAGGTATGGAATTAAAAAAACCGAAAAATTTGCATTTCACTTGACCTTTACTATTAAATATCACATATCTGGATAATGCTGGAAACCCCAAATATTCAAAACACTTTCCTTATAGCCATAATATCAAATTTTAGGGAAAGGTATTACCTAAGGGTATTACTTGCAAGGTCCTCTTTCAACCCAAACTGACGAACGTGATAAGGCGGGGTTAAAATCCATTGAAACACGAGACAACTACGCATACAAACAGAGCCCTTAAGTCCTCTCTGACGGGTCAGTGGATCTCTTGGTCTGTTAAAATTGATTAACTGAAATTTATGACAGAAATATAGTGAAATAAAATTTGGATATTTTAATCTTTTAATCTATGTTGTGATTGTTGCAAAAAGTGACGTTAGATTATAGATGGAATTAGTATATATTCTACATTATATTTAGGGAAACATCTACTAAAAAAAATAATTATTAAAGACAAAGAATAATGTTTAAATTATTCAGGTAAATTCTCAGGTAATTTCAGAACTTGAATTACATCAGTACATGACTATTTTTGACATTTCCTTCATTGCAATCATTCGGTATTTTTAGTAAAAAAAATAACGTATTATTGGAGAAACAAAGAGCTAATTTTTATTCTGGCTTTGCATATATCGATACATAGTAGGCATTAAACAGTAGTTATTTACAATCTATGCAAATAATATTTAGTTCAATTTACCCATTAAATTGCATTAGGATAATACAAAATTATATGTGCTCTATAATCCGATTGCCTTGAATGCCAACTGTGAAAATAAATCTGAAGCTGTGGCTATGCCTATGAATATATTTAACACGACCTATATATTGAATGGTAGTCAATTATTTATTATAGTATTTATGTTATTTGTTCTACAAATGAAGGGTCGGCCGTAACAACGTTGTATATAACATTTTGCTGAAATGTGATGTTTCCCTAAAACAACGTTTTATAAGCATATTTGAATGTATTGGCGCAACTGGAACTGAAAAATTTTGCCCGATGTCTGGCAATAGGGCGACCTTCAGTCAGTGCTAGCCTTGTATTCCCGATAATAACGTTGTACGTGCGTTTAAGCGCTTAGTAAGAGGGCGGTGCAACTTTCACCTGCGGATATTTCCCACTTAAATAGGGGAAAAAAAGGAAACTAAATATAGAGAACTAGAAACAAAACGCGAGAAAACGTTCAAGAGATGCTGGAGAGCAATATTCTAATTTATCTAGTACTAAGATTTTATTTTGTAAAACCAGTTTTTTGAAAATAATGTTTGCGTTATGTAAGTTCTTTCTTTAAAACCTTTATTAATAAAGTAAATTTATTAAAAAATCATTTGCTTTAATTTAATATACATTGCTTACGTGTAACAACGTTGTAAGTTACATGAACATACAACGTTGTTACATGCATTTTCCACAATAATGACCTCTATAGTTGGATATTTCGTAGTAAGCATTTTTAAAAATTATAAATCAGTATAGTTATAGCAACTTTAGTAAACTATACTAAATACGAAGTTTTATCATCACCTAAATGACCTCTTATCGTTTTTCGTGATTTATTCCATTCACTTCTTTTGTTATATACAACGTTGTTACGGCCGACCCTTCAAATATTATATGTAATATACGGAATATTAAAAAAAACGCGCCACTTCTCTATGGTGCATTATCACTTCTGTTCGGCCATCTTATGCATTCCTAAATAGAACAGTGACTCATCACTAAAAATGATGATGCGATTTTGTTCTTCGCCCTATTGCTATCTGGCTCTGCAACACTCTAGGTGTTGTTTAGTTTTATAGGCCATTGCTGTGGACACACAATTGAGCCGGACAGAAAAAAGTCCAAAATACTGTATTTTTACGTACAAAATTTCACATATTGATGAGTCTGCCGTGTTTTTTGTAAACATTGGTTGGAACTTCCCCTTAAACTGCAAACTTTACGTTCGGTGCTCCTGTACGACATCCTGTACCATAGCACGATGATGTTTCTGAAAGTAGGTTCACACACCAATCAATTTGTAATAGTACAAATCTTTATGGGGAATCTATCTGAAATCTGTAGTACAGCGTTTTGACTGCTATAATTATCTGCGATCATTTTTAGATCAGTACCTAACAAAACTGTTAGAAGTTTTGATACCTATCTAAATATATTACACCTATCTAATATATTAAAACATTTTTGACAAGCCATTTGACTTTTCAAAACTTCCATAACATTTTATTCTTTCGAAAACTCAATTTTTCTAATGTATGGATTCCTTTAACCAGATTATATGCTTCAGAAGAAAAATTCTGCCAATTTTTCTGAAAATCGCGAGATCGAGTTCTATTTCCCGCATAATAAACTTTATCTACTTACTCCTTTTATATGGATTTGAAGTGAACCAGGCTTATGTCGAACAAGGCTTTGCTAGGCTCTTTTCAATATAAATATGTTAACAGAGAGTGCAACAGTTCTTTAGACTGACATACTTAATGTAATGTAATGAAATTGTTGCTATTTTTTTAATACAAACTATTTAATTTTCATAAATTATTCTCATTTGTAAATTTTACATTTACCTATAATCCACTGATATTATTTGAAACTAGCTAATATTTGCCCCCTTTGCTGGATAGAAACATTTGAGACTGACTTGCCTACATTATCAAAAAAAGATGGTCGTATTTTTAAAGGTACCCATTAATGGCTACCCACGTAGAATGTGTCATCGGTTGTAAAAGCCATGTCAAAGTTTTACTTTTTTATGCCTTTAAAATTATTTATAGTTTGAAGTTTTAAAAGTAATTACCTTGCAATTTTATATGAGACCTACATTTTAGGATAGGATACTAAAAGTTCGTCCTTAGCGCGTGTTTATGTATCAATGTACGTTTCGATCCCAGAAACACGAGTA